GTATCTACAACAAATTGTTGAAAAAGTTTACCCCTTCTAAATAATGTATTTTTAAAATAGTTTGTTGTTGGATTATATAGGCATAATATTTTCTCATAGTTACATTTTTCTCTTTTCAATTTTGCTCTAATTAGTGAATGAATATAACTAATATTTGGTGTATAACCATCTTCACCATAAAGAAACAAAAGTGGATATTGCATGGCCATAAAAGAAAGATGAAGTTCACTAATTCGTTTTAATCCTTCAGTGATATGATTAATTATTATATGTCGACAGCTATCAAATTCTCCAAAATGATCAACTATCAAGTTAGCAATTTCTGATGTAGATGGGAGTCTATAATTGGTGCATCATTGTGACGAGCTGTTATTAATCTTATTGTAAAGGAGGCATAGTTTGTCCTTGTAAGTCTTTCCCTAACTAATCTAAAAACTTTACAATATATGATCTGCAGATTGAGTTTGTGCTTGTATACAATTAAAAACACTCTAAAACAACCTGCAGCATATAAATTATACAAACATTCTATTTACGTAAATTTAAAAAAAAAACATTTTTAGATAATATACTTTAACAATATAATCAATATGTCTCATTACTAAAGCTTATGCTATTTCCAACAATATATATAGAATATAAAAAATAAAAATAATATAATGGAATGTGACATGGATATAATATATAGCAATTTGATAAGATAAATATAAACAAAAGGAAATTAATATGAAACAGAGAATAATGAGTGACATATCAAATAGCAACCTAAATAGCAAGGAAAAAGGGGAAAAAATATAATGCAATTCGATCATTGAAACCAAATTTGGGAAAAATAAAATCTAACATATAATTACAGGTAAACAAACTAATAGAAAGTTCAGAATATACTCAAACAACGCTTAAGTCATGATATCAATAAAAGTAATGAGTAATATTTTAAACATAAAGCCAAAGCAATACTATAATTAAATAATTACTTTGAAATTTAATGTACTACAAAAAAAGACAAAAGAATGTAATCAACTGAAAGTAGAATTTCTACTAAGGACTAGTTAATATTTTGCTTCGTTTAAGTTTTCTTGATTTAGAGGTGATAAAATAAAAAAAAAACAATAAACAATATGTACATCAATCAGTATTAGAACAGGTAAGGTCGATACAAATATTGATAAAAAATAAAAACAAAGATTGAACAAAAATAGAACACTGATAAAAGGTGATAGGCAAATTTGATCATAAATATGTGGAGAACGAAAACACAACCTATATTTTAGTAAAAGAACAAAAGTGTAGTAATTCAAGACTACAATAGTATTTGTTCCAATTAACATGATTAGTGCAGGTGAACAAATGATAAAGAAAATTTATTTTTGAGCATCTTACCTAGTTGAGAAGTTAATCCCTTTAAATCTCCTTAACATTGAGTTTTAAAAAAATTAATGACTTTAGGTTTTGCTAAACTAAACAAACAAGCAATTTTTTCATTGTAATTATATTGTTTATACTAAACAAACAGCAAAACATATCATACAAAAATATACACATCAATTTGAACAAAATAAAAGGGAATAGAGTTTGATCTTAAAAAATCAGATTAAACATGTTGTAAAAATTATATCATAAACCTTTTAGTAAAATGAAACTAATCTCTTTGAATAGAAAACCAAATAACACAAAATCAATAACAAAAACAAACTGCCTAAATAGAGCAAACCCAATAACAAAAATAATATAAAACACCATCACAAACCCACGAACAAAAACAATACAAAATACTATCAATCTAAGCAAACAAAATAAGAAAACAAACCAAACTGAAAGGAATAAAGAATATAGAGTACTGAAATCTATTGCTATAATCAAACTAATAAAAGGCAACAAAACAAATGAACAATGACAACATCATCAAACTAAAACTCTAGTATTTTCTATATGACATAGATAGGAATCAAAACATTACCAAATACTATACCTAACAGTTTAGCAAACAGGAAAGTCAAAGGACCGGATGAAAGAAAACCCAAAGAGAACTAAGTAAGAGTAATACAGAACAAAAACCACTTCTACATAAAATAAAACACTCCCACTAATGTCCGAAAACCAAGGAACCGAGAAACGATACATAGCAAGTATTTTGAAACCATAGATTTCAAACATTCGTACGAAGAAGTCGGAGTAATGTAATTCCCGATGACTGAAGATAGATTAATAAAAAGGATGCAAGTCAGTATAGCTGCCAAAAATTGAAAATACCCATGTGGACAAAATCTATTGCGCACTCGCACACAAAATGCACGGGGAAACCAAGGCTACAGCATACACACAAGTAAGAAGGCTTGCCTTCTCGAGCACATAAATGGGGCGCATAATCATGAACTCTAGAAGTGAGGAATATGGCATGAGTTGTAAAACTGGCCCAATACCAAAAACCAAGGCATTGATTACACGAGAGAGAAGATGAGAGCGAACACACAAAGCTTCTCTAAAACACGCATATAATCGTAAGCTCTAGAAGAGTGGAAAATGGCGTGGATTGTAAACCAGGTTTCCAAAACCAGACCCTATACGAAGATCCAAAGCATTGACTACACGAGAGAAAACATGAGAGCAAACACACAACTTCTCCAACACTCCTTCACACGAGCACACACTTCACCACACTACACACAACACACACACACACACACACACACAGGCCCTCATCAAACTTCTCTTTTCCCTTTTCTGAATTAAAGCTATGCAGACGAGGGGTAAAAGGAAAACAAAAATGTGACCTTCAAAAACATCCTAAACATGGCTAAACCTGGGGTATTTTTGGACCTTCCTTTAACTTATAATAATAGATTGATAGCTAAGAGTTATAATCAAAGGACAAGATAGGGTTTGATTATCAAAAAAAAAAAAACCTTTTAGTTGAGTAATCAAGCAAATCATAGTAAAGGTGACATCTCTCTCAACTTGCCATAATTAAATTTACTCCTAATATTTATCCCATTTTAGGAGGATCAAGGCTCAAAACCTGAATCCCCTTAATGTATAAGAAAAAAATTGTAGTGATTCTTGTGATTTCATCAGCACCATATAAAAATCTATCCTATACACTAGTACCAAAATAATTTTTTAAACTTTACAGATAAAATTAGAAAATGAAATATATATCTCATTAGAATATATTTATAAAAATTAATAAATGAACATATGACAATCATCTTTTTCTTTTTCTTTTTTTTTTTTGTGAAGTTCAAAATGATATATAAAATAATAATCCATAACACTTTTACTAATTGATACAATATTTATTCTAACACACTCTCTTCTTTTGCTCTCTCTAATTTGACTCTCAAATGACCATTGAATCCTGGCTTCACTTTTGACATAAAAGTATTTAAGCTTGACTTCCAAGAATATCAATTATCACTCTATTAGTTTTAATTTGAATCTTTGTTATTAGCAAAGTAAGCAAAGGAAAATAAGTTGAAATTAGGATTCTGATTTCTGAACCCTAGAGGCTTGTGACCTTATGATGCAAACGAATATAGAGAAAGGAATTGCAACAAATTCAATGGTGTAAGAGCCCTGGAAGTCGGTGACCAAATATTGATGATATGAAAATCCTAAAGGCATATTCATTTTAATTTAATCTTGGAGTCACTAATGACTGAGCCCTAAGCCTCTAAGAAATATGCCAAGTACATTAGAGAAGCTTGAAGAAATACGTATTTGAGCCAAGCAAAAACATAGAAGAAAGAAAAGGAAACAAGCCTCTGTGGACTGGCCTTAGAATAACTCTTGTGCGTTACTGCTTGGACGGGATCTGAACCTTTCACATACGCATACACACACACATATACATATATAGATAGGGTCTGAATAGAACTTTAAACTGGGCATAGCTTCCCCACAAGAAAATGAAAAACAGGCTTTGGGCCTTAGGCTGCTTTTAAAAATATTATTGAAATTAGGTTGAGCCCATAAAAAAAGTCTCAAGGCAGTCAGGACAGCTGCTAATTTCACACTGAACAAGTTCACAGTCTCCTAAACCTCCTGATAAAGGGCAGAACCTACTCTTAAATCTGTTATACTAGTAATCAAAAACACTTTTATCAGCTAAGGTAGTTGCAGTTGAATTGTTTTCATTTGTTGAAGGTAAGATTCAACACAACTGAGTAATGGGTTGTGTTTTACTTGGCTTTGGACAAGGCCTGCATCAATTAAAAGATGAAATGTTTACAGCCTTCAATGTACATCTTAAAACAATGCGAAGCTGCATGTCTTGACATCTTTCATTAATTCCAAGCACAAGTTAACCAGAAAATGAACTGTTTGAACCATACTAAAGGAATAAATCAGAAGCTATAAAAAGGATGTATCCTCGACGTGTAGTGCAGCGCAGGCCATACCTGGGTTGTGGCAGAAAAACCTTGGCTCAACGCTTGGTATAATAATAATTCAACTTGGTCCCGAGGATGTGGCATATAAAACTCGTTGAGGGAATCAATCAGTAGCAAAGAAAAGTTTCTGTCTCGAAAAAGGACTTTACGTTTCAAAGAATCTTTTTCAGGCCTCAAGACCAACCTTGAAAAGTTCCCCTTTGCCTTGTGCAGGATGGATGGATACAGGCAAAAGAACACAACATCTTGATTTTAGTCAGAGAAGAAAACATAGGGTCCTGAAATTTGTACAGCTACTACTATATATTATATTATATTCTATTATATTTTAACTTTAAAAGCACAGGCTCCCATCATTGTCATAAGCTTAATCATATGGGAAACGAAATCACATAGAAAACAGTTGAGAAATTCACCGTCAGCCTGCAAAAGTACCTTGCGCAAAACAGGAGAATATTTCGACAACTGTTAAAAAGGATAAAAGGCTTTTGAGGCAAACCAGCTTAAAGTTGGAAAGTTACAGCCAAATGCAGAGTAACACGTAATTCAATGTTCACTAGAAAGATAGCAGCCAAAAGAATAAGCCAACAGATAAATTTAACTCCAACATATGAGAAAAAGTTAAATGTTATATTTCCAGCCAACTTAGGAGAAAACACAACTCTATTCGCCAAACTGATTGGGAAAAAAAAAAAGGCTCATACGGGTTCCTCTCTGTTAAACCCCATTCACATCACAAGATACCCATAGTAAAACAAAGAAAACAAGTTAGAGTAATCACACTTTTCCTAGAATTTACAGCAAGTCTCTATGCAGCAACTTCAGTTAACGGAACTTCAACTGAGAGTTGCGTGGCCGTTGCCATTTGAGTAGCAGTTGTCATTGGAGTTGCAGAAGTTGCAGGTAGTGATTGCAAGAACTCAGTATAGTGGAATTCAATCTGTAATCGGTGATGGAGCGGTGTTGAAGCCATTAAACCCTTCTTGATATCTGCCTGCAACTCCCTAATAGGTATAGCAGCCAAGAAGCTCTTTATGTATTCCTTGCAGGACTCCTTTCCTTGGCAAACAACCTCCTCTCTCTCTTCACTCTTGATTGATTCCTCAGATTTGGTTACTATAGGCCCTGCAGCAGAACCCTCCTCCTTCCTGTTGACCTGTTGAACCTGTGCATTTTTGGGTTCTGCAGCAGCTGTAGCAATCTGCTGGTCACTATTCGACTTATCATCTGAAGATTGAGCCACATTGGGTAGCTTGTGAATTACAGTATTGCAGTCAAATTTCAAGATGTAAGCTTGATTGCATCCCTCATAAAGCCTCTCTCCTAATGTGTCAATGATGTAGTAAGCCTCTGGTTCAACCTTGAGGATAAAAAAATGGTCATTCCAACTAACAATGTAAACCTGAGGTTCACCACTGTTTGGACATTCTGCACCAGCACGACTAATCTCATCCCAGATGTTATCAAAAGACATTGCACCATGCAAAAAGTCAAATCTTCCCTCATCCATCCCTTCTGGATGGAAAAATCCAATAAATGACTTCCTTGGCACTACAGAAAGAGGACGTAATTTTGCTTGGAGAACTGTCTCAAGGTCAAAGTGCTTGTCAGGGAACCGTTCCCTATAGGTTTCATTCTCACAGAGGTTCCTCCATTCCAATGAGCCTTCTCTAATCAAACTATCAAATTGAGACTTAATAGGCATCAGATCATGGTTGTTCTGAAACCAATCAGCAATAACAGCAACAAGGGCTGTACATGCACTTTCACCGGCTGCTCGCTCGCTCCGTTGATCAATAGAAGCAAAGAAGACCTGTGCTTGAAGCTTCATGTGTCCATCACGGCTCACCACTTCTTTCTGCTCCCAACTGCCAATAGCAAAATTATCGTCCCCAAATTCAGAAACGGATGAACGATTTGCAGATGAATCTTCGTCTGTCTTGTGCCACTGAAAAAATAAATGAAAGTTGTATTTAAAACTTCATATACTTTAGATAGGTGATAATTGTGAAGAAATAAACATTGGAGAGTTGATAATGCTGCTGCAATATTTGTTAAACTATAAAGCCAATTAAGGCCTTGGAAAAGTACTATCCATTGAAGAAAGGGAACCATTCAAACTAGCTGTGATGATAAAGGTATGAACTATGTAGGAATTGTCGGATATCCAAATCCTCAATCAGATACATAAACACATGCATCTTTGCAGGTGCATCAATTCATAAGAAGATCATGTGATAACTTGACAAAATCAGGATTAATAATAAAAAATATTGGTCTATATAATCAGATATAGCTACTCATCTGCGAGCATTAATGATTGAAAAGAAAATCATCTATGAAAACCAGCAAGATTGCAGACAGAGAAGTGTAACGCAAAATAAAAAATTAAGAAATGATTCTTACCCCATGGGCATGAGATTCGTCAGAGCTAAGCTGCCGGCGGTCAAAATCAATGTCATCTCCACCTTCTTCTCCATAGGCTTTCTTTAACAATGGTTCCCCTTTTGCTTTTGGAGACCTGAAGCTTAGCTTTCTTTTTCTCCAAGACAAAATGCTACGCTTGGAACTCTGCAACAGGGATGGCTCTGACACAGATGCAGCAGAATCCTCAACATTTGAGCAGCCAACATCTGATTTGCGATTGCTGTAGTACACCCAATCCTCACCTTCCTCATTGATCCTCATGCTGGAGTAAAATGATCCTCCAGCATAATTTGCTGATGCCAGAGTACCATAACTAAATGATTTCCTTACAACAGAGTCATCCTTTACCTCATCTGATTCTCCTTCATCAAAATCGTCGAGTGAATCTGTGTCCAATGGATACTCACCATCATCACTCCGGGCAGAACACCTTCCTTCACTGCCCTCATCCTCTCGACAGGCTTTTTTTGCTCTTCTAGTCGAAACATAATCTGTAAAAATTTTCACTTTTCTAAGACCAGCTTTAATTGCAGAAAGCTCATCCTTTTCCATTGAGACGGTTTCGCCGGAGCGGGAAGGTGAAGCAACAGGCACCAATGCCCTCTGTACTGGCTCTGTTGTATCTTGAGCAGTTCTTAGTTCTAACAGGCTAAGTGATATCTACATGATGAACGAGAACTTAAAATTAGAATATGTAAAGGCCTTAAGGAAACGGATAAATCAAACACAGTAGAATTCTGCTTGAAAAGATTTAAAGGCACATACACAGAGTTGGGGACCAGGTTCAGTAGCACCATTGGAGAGTATGAGGGGGATGTTTAACTCAAACTCTTTCTGTTCAGCAGCAGAAGCATATTCAGCAAGATTCAATGACACTGTCCCAACAACAGGAACCTTGTTCTTCAGCCCCTGATTCAAGCCCTGCATCAAGAAAGATAACTTTCAATAAGTTTGAACAGTTAAAGAGCTAACTTCTGAAAACCAACAACAGCAGAAAATTGACAATGATAATAGAAAAATATGATGATAAACAAGTTTAGGAGGTAAGAACCCCTCTGCGTCCAATGATCAGTGCCAAAGGCAGAAAGTAATCCACACAGTTTCTACATATTATGTTCAATAAAGCTAGACCACTCAAAAAGTTCAGACAGAACAAAATTAGTCGAACAAACAAGAAAAAGAAGGATGAAAATAGTCTCCTCCAATATTTTCTATTGAATAAAATTAACAATCTTTCAAAATATCAACAGCTCCCCCACAGTCAACTGTCATAAAGAACACAACCAACAGTCTAATTATCTTGACAAAATTATTCAATTCAACCAAATTAACAGTCAAAATTATTCTAAACTAAATTCAATGTTATGATTTTTACAGAATATAGATCAGTTCAGAGAATCTTCATTCAAATTTCAGAGCAATCAAACAGCCAAAACAACAGACCCAAGAAAACGTACAAAAATATAATCAAACATAAAAAATGACCAAAAAAAATTCATAGATGTAAAAGATTATCTAAAAATACAATAAATTTGAAATACCCAAAACCCAAAAGGCCACCACTTCGAGAATCTAAACCCAAAAATTCTCCATAATTTTATCATTTAACCATTTTTCTAAGAAGAAAACTTAATTTTCTAAAAACCCACAAAATTAAAACAAACAAAGAGAGAGAGAGAGAGAGAGAATCTGTTCTCCTGAGACTTACATTCAAGACAGAGAAAGCAATCTCCCAAGGATGAAACACATTCTCTTTATAAGCCGAAAAGCTACAAAGGGTTTGAAACTCCTCATCCCATACAACGGCGCTGTTTTCGTCAACGCCGTCGACTTCCTTCGTGAAATTCCTCTTAACCGTTCGCCTTAGAGAACTGAGAGAAGCCTTTGGACCTTTCCATCGAATCTCGACCGTTAATTTCGGTGACTTCTCTGAACCTTCCCCGACCAGATCCCACCCTTCTAACCTCCTTACAATTAGCTTTACCTCGTACTTTTTTGAAACCAGAGGCGGCCATGGTCGCCACCTCATCATCTTCACCACCATTTTTCAAAAGAAAAAAAAAAACACCAGAAAAACGAACAACCTTAAATTTGTCGAATTATTAATATTCTCCGAAAACCCAAAGAAACCCAGAGAAGCTCTTATTTCTTTTCTTTCTGGGTCTTTTTCTAATTTAAACCCCAAAACAAAATAAAAAGTGGAAAATAGAAACAATCTTGGGTTCTTGAATCAAATTTAGAAGAAAAGAAGTAAAGGGTAGTCAAAGAAAGGGATCAAAAATGGAGATTTTAATTGTTTTAAGGGGAATTAATTTGGTCTTGAAGAACCCACAAAAAAAAAAAGCTCTTGTGAGATAGAGAAGGGAAAGAGTGCTTATATTAATATATAACAGGAGAGAAAGAGAAAGAAGAAGAGAAGAGAGAGTGAACGTTGAAGGATGAAGACCGAAGGCTGAGGGGTTAAAAAGTTAACTAGGGTTAAAAACGAGGCGAGACCGGAGACAGAAACAAAGTAAGTATTAACTAGGCAAACTGGCAAAGGAACACAGAGAGAGAAACAAGTTGTATGTATGTTACCGTCGGGCCCGATGTAACGGCGTAATAACGAGGTGGTTGACTTCCGTTTTTTTTCTTGTCTTTGGATTTTTTTTTTTTTTTATATAACTTGTCTTTGGATTTTGGTCTTGCTTTATTGGACTTTCCATTTTATCCAAACTTCCTTCTTTTTTTGAATTTTTATCCGCTTTGGCTTTTGTTTTTCTTTATGCCCTTGTATTTCTTTTTCTTCCTTTCTTTCTTTTTTTCAATTTTTTATGTTGGGTAATTATTTTATTATTTTTCTCATTATTTTCTATAATTTCTTGATTACATGGAGAAATATTTTTATTTTTGTTTTTGTTTTCAAATTTATAAAGTGTTTGGCATTTTGATTTTTTTATATCATTCGAGCAAGAAAAACTCGAATATGAAATATTTTTTGAAAAGAAAGGCATGACTACTATTAAATTCTATATACTACTATACTTCATCTGCTTTAATTTGAATGTTTTTTCACTTGTTTGGAGCGTTTCAAAATAATATTCACCTTCTCAAAATAAAATTTTTTTTCAATGTTATCTTTCATTAAATTACTAATTTTAGATAAAATCATTAAACATAATGTTTAAAAATCTCTAAATTATTTCAGAAAATCCAAATGAGATATTACTCTTTTATTGTGTTCAATTAAACCCATATACTTTTATTTTAGGTTAAATAGACTTTTATGATTAAAGATTAATTAATTATCATTAGTAAAAATATCATATATCATTTTATGTTCATATAGTGTTACTATGAAAAGTGAGAAATCTCATGTGATCACATCATCATATTATATCTACGCGTTACATCATCATCGACTATTATGTTAACATTTCACATCATCTATACATGATATAAAATGAAAAGTGACATTTTAACTAATAATACAATTATTTTTTTATAATTGAAAAAGGGAGATTCGAATCTTGTTCTTTAGGTAGGAGGATAATATACCACCTAATGAACCAAATGCTCGAGTGCACTAATAATATAATTGTTAATTATGAAAGTTTTCGTTTTTGAATAGTAATCATAAAAACTTATTTAATTTAAATAAAAAATTATAAAAACTTAATTAAACATAGTAAAAGAATAAAAATTTATTTAAATTATTCTAAATAGTTCAAAAACTTTTTTAAATAATATGTCATGATTTAGGTTGTATGTCATTTTAAGAATAAAATTTATTTATAAAAAAAAGATCAAATAATTTATTTAAAAAATTATGTACTATTTATAAGATATGTATTCAATTTTGGAGGAAAAGAATAGTATAGATTTAATGAAGATGACGCATGATGATGCTAAATGTGAACATCGGTGGGGTAGCATCAAAGTTCAACCAATTAATTCATGGATATTTACGGATAACAATGTATAAGCTTTATATTGTTAATGAGATGTGCATGCATACCTATAATATACATTTAACTTGCATAAGACTATGACTTTATGAGCACTATGTTCTTAATATTCGCATGCTTTAAAGTATTTGCATATAATTTGACACTCTAATGTGTAACAATATGCTTATAAAGAACAAGAATAATCCAATATTACACAAAATAAAGAAAGAATTATTAATTACTACTATATAATTATCAAAGACTATGTGCTATATATAAATTTCAAAAAAAAATATACATTATAGAATAAATTGAAAATTCAAACATTGGGCCATCAATGTTATAGAATATATCAAATATAAGGAGACCATTATAAAAGGAAAAAAAAAAGTAACTTACACTTAATACTGAATAGGAAGAGAAAAAGGTGGATGTGAATTTGCATATGATTAATTTGATTAAATTTTACTATTTTATTTTCTTCTAAAAACCGAAAATTGCCATAATACTCGTCACTTGTATTCACAAAAATTCCATCTCTAATCAAACAGTACTCATTTTGAGGACGGGTGTATATGTATTAATTCAAATAATTTAAATTGTGACTTTTATTTCTTTTAGTGTTTAAATTTTTTTATTAATTAAGTGATAATATTTGATTTACTAATAATGTATAAAATCTATATACGGACAATGCATATAAATATAAATTCTTTAAATAATCAAGTTGTGAAATAATTGTCTTCTTTCTACCTCTTGAGAGTTAATTATAAACATATGCGGATTAGTGCTTGCTATATGCTAGGACTCTTTTGTTCATTCATCTGATATATTCATTCAGCAGTTAAAAAAACCTATGGAAACAAACATCCGCCGCTCAACAATGAAATCCAGTGGAAACTTAAAAGACAAGTCTTAAGCCTACATCAGCTGTTAATTTAGTGAGAGATTGGTCCCAATTATTTCTGATTAAATCCTAGCTAATTCCTAATCAAATTCAACTCATCTTCTCAATAAGACACCCCTCCTATATTATTTATAATGGAAAGAGCTAATAATTAAGCTATTATTCCCTCTCTCTACATATATTATCTGATTTTAAACTTGCATATATACTGTCAGCAATCTTTTATAGCTCATAAACACTTGAGTATTTAATTTATTAATTAATATATAAATCTCTGCTTAAAGAGTAGAAGTGATGTTGATGGGAGGACCCGAGGCTAACATATACCAAAAACAACGTACGCGTCTCAACCATTGAATTGAAATTCAATGAAATTTGTGTCTTGAAAGATATTTCAAGCTAGTTTGAACTTAAAACATATTGCATTATTATTATTATTATTATTAAGAAACGGTATTATTCAAAATTGTGGGTGGCAATTGGCTGAATATGTACCAACTCTTGAGAAATTATATAGGGTTATGAAAGTTATTATGAAGTCAACGTTGAAGCTGATCCAACCAATTTTTGTTTCTTTCACACTAACACTTTTGTTTTTTCCTGAAGCTTTGGACTTTGCATGTGCACCACATGTGCACCCTCGGTACCATGTGATTTTGTTTTTCTTTTTGCTTGGAATGGTGGGTAGGCACAAAGTCCTCTGCCCTCTTCTATTTTTTGTTTTACATTTTTAGAAGGAAAAATATTAAAATGGATTGTATTTATTGTTAGAGTATTTTAATTCGACACAAAAAGTAAATCAATTATTTCTTATGAATAATCCAAAAATTAGACACTTGAACATTTCTTTCTTTCTTTCAAATCATACTATGAAAGAAGAAATTGGGAGATTCCCTGCAAATGGATATGAGAGAGTCACACGTTTAAAAGACTTTTCCTTCACCCATGGGGACAAGACCTTTGGCTTTACAGCTTGGCTTTTGAAATGGTTGGAGTTTTTGGAGCCTTAGAAGTTGGGCAAGTGATTTGATTGTTGGGGGTTGCAACTTGCATAGCTTCAAGATTTCCTAACCCCAAAATTTTGAATGATTATTATATGGCCATGATGATAAAGATCATGCCTAATGTGTGGGGTTCATAATTAGATTAGTTATCACCCAACAGCTAAGGCTACACGTTCCTTCTTATTCAAAACCTTGAGCAGAGCCATTAATAAACCAGTTCCAAGTTCTTTCTCCCTAGCTAGTGTGTTTAGGGATGGTTTAGACTAACCTTGGAAAATGGTAGCATTCATTATTTGAATACGATTCAATTCAACACTTAAAACCTTTAAAAAAAAAGTCATTTTAATTAATCCTTTCTTCTTGTCCTACAATAACTTTAGCTTGAAATTGAATCAATATCCTTCAATCTATATGACCCTAATTGCCCCAATGAAAGAGGAAAACATATTTAGTCATGCTAAAATCATTTTTAGCTTGTTCAAATATTGTTTGGGTAAAGAATTTTTTGCACATGGAACATACCCTTTATAAAGTATGCTAAAAGAAGTAAAGAATAACCCTTTGAATGAGAATATACCCAAAGATGAGACTCAAATTTTTTGTGTAGCTAGGACAATTTGATAAATCCCAGTAACAAAGACAAATCTGATTTTTTTTTTTTTGCTTGGTTAAATTGAAAGCAGAGATTATTAATTTTGTTTACTTTGGTGCCCACATCATTTCTCTCATTTGTCCCTGCAGAGAGCTTGAACCAAATATAATTGGGTCTGAATTAAAATGCAGGTGTCCAACTACATAATTCATGAAAATGTGGTGCCAACCGTAAGATAATTTCTTTTTTTAATAATAAAATTATAAATATAAAAAATAAGATTAGTATTAATAAGTTTTTTTCTTCCTTTATTTCTATTTCTTTCTTCTATGTTTTATGATTTTTTAAATATATATTTGACATAATATTTTAAAAAATTTTGAATTATTTAAAAAAATTCAAGTTTTTATATTTTTATTTTCAATCAAATAAGTTTTTATAATTAACAATTGACTCAGAAAATAACATGTCATTTTTAAATTCACATGGCGATGATATGTCTCTAATGTGTAGGGTGAAACTATTACAAGATCACATTATTACGTTACATTAACATATCATATTACCATATGTAATAATATATTAATATGTCACGTTAGTGTCACACGATGTAAAATAACAGATGTTATCTTGATTAGTCAATTATTAGTTATAAGTGTCTATTTGATTTAAAATAAAATACAATAACTTGATTGAATGTAATATAAAAATAAAAACTTATTTAAATTTTTTAAAAAAATTCAGATACTTTTTAAAGCGTTATGCATATATATTTCTGATATTTTTAATTTTTCTGTTAATTTCACCTTTAACATCTAAAGTTGAATATAATAAGATCTTCAAGTTCTCTGAAAAATGATACTCCAACCAAAGCATTAAATAAGAGAGTGTAATTGACCTTTACAAAGTAGACTTATAACGAAGTGGGGAACATTTAAATGATTATATAGGTAATGAGTTACGAGAGTGATTGTGCAATTTCTTTCCTTCGAAGATAAAAGAATAATGCCTCTAAGGTTAGGTGTAGTAATAATGTAAACACAATAACCATACACTAATTTTAGTTTCACTTTTAGCATTA